TTACCTCTGAGAACTTCAGACACTGGAATTGACAGACTTTTTTAAAACTTTAACCAAGGGATGCAGGTCAAGAGTTGGTTTTTGATAAGACTTAGACAAATCTCTAAAGAGACTAATCAAGAAAGAGAAGACAGACAAATAAAATCTGCTTCGAACAGAGGATCTAGAAGAAAAGAGATAAAAGGAGTGGTCTGAGCAATGTTAGTAAAATTGAAAGCAGAGGGACCATTGGGAGAAGTTGTGCTTGTCTGTGATGTAAGCTGCTGGAAGACATTGAAGGAGGTCAGGTTTTAAACCAGTCTGGGTGACAGCCTGGAAGCGAAGGGGAGGTTTAGAATCACCTATTTCTTCTTTAGCTTTAGTGAACTATGAAATATGAAGCCTTAAATCTGTACAATAAGTTTTATTTTTATTCTGTGATAAAAAAAAAAAAAAGCCTGCCAAATGGCTCAATCAGTAAAGGCTCCTCGCTGGCCTGAGTGTAATCTCTGGGAGGAGAGGACAGGCTTCTGCAAGTTGTTCTCCTGCTTCACACCACACACACCACAAACACAATGAAAAAAAAATTTTTTTTAGGCCAGGGTGGCCTTTAATCCCACCCAGCACTGAGAAGGCAGAGGCAGGTGGATCTCTGAGTTCAAGGCCAGCCTGGTCTACACAGTGACAGCCAAAGACAGTCAGAGCTACACAGTGAGACTACATATATATATATATATGTTAATGGGGCTGGGGAGATGGCTCGATTGGCTTCTGTGCAAGCATGAAGATATAAATTCCGTTCCCAACACCCACTATAAAAGAGCCAGGTGCAGTAGCTCTCTCTTGCAAGTCCATGGCTGGAGAAGTAGAGACAGGAGAGTCCCTGCAGTTTTCTGAGTAGTCAGACCAGACCAGTGAGCTCTGGGTCCAGTGAGAGACCCTGTCTCAAAAATAAGGCAGAGAGTGATAAAGGAAGACATTGGACCTTGGCCTCACCTTGGGCCTTTACACAAATGTCCATATATGTGCATATGTGCACTTACATACAGAGAGAGAAAGAGTCACAGGATAAAGGACTTCTCAAACATATGAATTATATATATTAATTACAAAGTTATATAAAGTCATAAATAGATGAATAAACAAAATAGCATATATCAAGAACAGTCATATATACATATATACATATACATATATGTATATATGTATATATATGGAAACAATATTCAGCAAAAATGGTTGACAATGGAGCTATGGAAAAAGATTTATCAGGCTCAGGGTGGCATGACAAATCTATGGGGAAAATAGACTGCTTAGTAAGAAAACTAGTTCTTCATATAGATAGAAATAAAATTAATACCTAATTTACACCGCACCCAAAATGAAAGTCCTGGAAGGTTAAATATGGAAAGTAATACCATATAGTTTTCAGAAGAAAATACAGGATGTTATTTCCATTATCTGAGAATACAGATAGATTCCTTTAGTCATAAGAAGCATTAACCATCAAACAATAATTCAACTGGTTTAAATTAAGAACTTCTGTTCATCAAAGAAGCCATAAAGAAAATTAAAGAAAAAAAAAGCCACAAACCAAGAGATTTGCAACATGTGACTGGTTAGTGTACGGAATACATAAAGAAGTCGAGTCCTCTGGGTTAAAATTGAACGCACATGCATTCTGACCCCTGCCTGAAACTACAGTAACCGGATACCTGAGATCAACATTCACAAGGATAGTGAGAAAGGGCCAACCACAGGAAAACCCTTCCTGCAAGAGGAAGCTTGCTGAGCAGTAACTGACCTAGCACATCTGAGATGTGGTGGCAAGCCAGCAGTGGGGCATCCGACATCATTCAGCTTAAGGATACAAGATTCCAAAAACCTCAGGGATTGGCAGTTCTGGTTCTCTGAAACTGAAGGTGAGACAGAAGGACCAAGGCTAAAATAAGGATTATTCAAAAGTCATTTAAGAAGCAGTTAAACCTACTAATCCTTTCCATTCTTTGCCTCGGGGTGACTTCCTGGCTCTGTCTCAGAAAAAGTCACAAGGCTCCCCCAACCCCCTTGGCAAGGATCCTGAAAACAGATGATCATCCATATACTGACTGTAAAAATCCCCTGCAGCTCTCTACTGGGCTGGCAGCTAGGCCATTACCATAGGCCTAAGATTAAAGGAGCCTTTCCAAAAACTGGGATCCCCACAAGAGGAAAGGTGTGAGGATATTGGTGTTAGAGTTGTTAGGGTCTGCAAGCAACAGCCCAGCCAGACTGGCAGTGGGTGGCATTGGCCGCTGGCAAAAATGGCTCAAGGCCTCAGACACAGGCTCTTTTGGTTTTCCATTCACAAACAGAAGCAAAGATCACAAGCGTCTTAGGAGCACCTCAAACAAAAGATGGCTGTGAGTGCTTCTAAATACAGCTCTCTCTCTCTCTCTCTCTCTCTCTCTCTCTCTCTCTCTCTCTCTCTCTCTCTCTCTCTCTCTCTCCCTCCCTCCCTCCCTCCCTCCCTCCCTCCCTC